ATGTGGCTCATAAACTAGGAACCTACCTATAAAGAATATTGATGATTATATATATATATATATATATATATATATATAATATACTTATATATATGGCTGAAAATTGCGTTTAAACATGATGTGGACTGTCGCCGCTGGGAGTCGATGTTATTGGTCAGATTAAATTAGACAAGGAAACAGCAGTATTAAAAAAAACTCAATACACGTATAAGTAAAATAAAATAGAATGAAAATTCAACATGTAAGGCTTTTTCATTTAAGATTAGTAGATTCGCCGATCGCTCCGCCTTGGTTTCAATTCACCTGAAGATATCGAAAGCTAGCGTGATCTGCTGATTACCTAATTTTTTAATTTTAATATTTATATATATGTGATGGACACGATTTGGACACCTTTGCTATATATATATATATATATATATATATATATAGCGAAAATTTAGGAACATAGGCTTCCTAAATTTTTCTCTTATATGAATTTACGACCCGCGGCTGCTATTCCGCGACCGTTATCAGTTATTAAATAATAATATATGTTTGAATAATATATATATATATATATATATAATAATCTTGTAAATATAAGTAAGTATACTCGTCCGGTAAAACCTTAGGTGTTTTGGCTTGTAAATGAATAAAACAATACCTAAGGAAAAAAAAAGGAATAAAAAAAAAAAGAACTAAGAACATGTAATTCAGGCGAAAAAAGCCTCCGACACGAGTAAAATAAAAAATAACTAAGCAAAGTGCTCAATACGCTATATTCTGTTCTAATGTTACCTCTTTGGCCAGCGTACCTTGACGATCCGCGTAGGTGAAACCTAGGCAATAAATAGCTGGGATCCTAACAGGTGCTACCACCTCGTCAGGTTAGACCTGGGAACAACAGCAATCAAGAGGTGGTTCTCCCCATAAGCGGCTTTCCTGCTGCATGTAGTTCATCGTTATACACAGGACTTTATTGTATTCATAAGCTACCTCTTTGTTTATGATTTTACTATAAAATGCGGGAAGAAAGTGTTTGCTATTGATCTGAAATGAAAGCGAGTTTCGCTTGTAGAACAGGACTTGCATGCGTAACTGTACGGAAACTCAATGTACAGTACTGGAAACAAGACAAAGCTGTAGAAGTTTAGATAGCTAGGAAGTGTTCTAACAGATTACGAAAAATGTGACACCGAAGTCCGAAGGTGTGTTGTAATAGGAAAAGATGCCTCTGAAAAACTAAACAAAGTATTAAGAAACAGGAAAAATTCGTTGGAAACAAAGAAAAACGTGCTGAACTGCTATGTAAAATCAATCAATGACAATGATTACCGGGCAATCTCCTCGCAGATTAAAAAAAGACCCAGAGCAACACAGATGTAGTCCAACAGAAGGATACTGAGAATAGCAACGATTAAACATGTAAGCAAAGACGACGTTTTAAGGAAAATGGAAACAAAAACGACAATTATACATAAAACGAGAAACATACAGCCGAAACACATGAGACACATAATGAGGAAAGAAGGCTTGGAAAATTTGACGCTCACAGAACATATTGAAGCCAAGAGAGTCAGCGGATAGCAATAAGTAACCTACCTAAGGAACTTTTATAAATCGATGATAGGACGGGGAATGGGAGATAGAGTAAAAAGACAAACATTACTAAAAGCTACGAAGGATAGGAAGTTGTGTAGAGCTATGATCGTTTAATGTCCTGAATGGAAACGGCATAAAGAAGAAGAATAATTGGAAACTACATTTGGTGATAAGAAACTTAAAGTATTTAGCCAATTCAAATATCTCTTCTCAATTATCAATTAAGTGGATTCTATAATAGAAATCATTTCAAGTGTTCGCAAAACCTCAAGAACCGTTTGTAAAGACAAGAACAACGGCCTGAAATCAAAGATCAGACTGTTACGTGCATCGGCTTTCTCAACCTTTCTGTCAGCCGGTAAATTAACAGCAGGACTACAGCTAAGAATCTATGCATTGAGAATGAGATGCTGTAAAAGACCGCATCGCAAACGACGCGAAACATAGTCGAACAAGAATCAAGCCAATTAGATCTCATAGCCTCCGTCAAAAAAACAAAGTTGAAATGCTATGGATATGTCTTTAGAGCCAGCAGTCTTTCCACTAAATGGTGGCACATTAGGTAAAAGAAGGCGAGGAGAGAAAGAGGAAAATTTGCTGAGAACATCACTGAGGTAACTGGAAGATTATTCAGAGATACGCAGACATTGGCACGCAACCGAGACATGTGGCGGGTGCTGGTCAGGGTGCTCAGCCGCGCAGTGACCCGACAACCACACTCGGTCAACTGATGGTGATGATGATTATGATTACGATAAATGGAACCGAAGGTTCTTTGGCAAACATTGCGAATAACAACTTTGATGCTTTGCCAATATAAAGAGTAAGAAAGAATTTCCTTCATGCTTAAACAACAGACTGTGAGCAATCAGGAAAAAAAAACAAAAAAAATCATATAAAAACTTTTGTATATGCCCTGCTGGGTGTAGCAGTTTCTCATCGTTTTCTAGAATTCCGTATTTGAAACTTTGTTTAAAAGATTTCCAATACTGTTTTCTAAACATGGCGTAACAAATTCGGACGATTTTTATAATAAAAGCATTAGCAATGCATTTACAATAACTAGCAAGAATTTTTTAAAAAATTATTTATCCGTTCAGGACGTAAGCGATTATATACATTACAGTTCAAAAATTTGAGGCCACCCCTGATAATTTTTTTAAAAATTGGCTCCAAAAGTAGTTGTTTTCGTTTTGAAACAAGTGAAAAATTTTATACACGGTTAAAAAAAAGTGAAGCATGATTTTTTTTTATTAGAAATTTTATTATGATAAAAAGAAAAAAGATATTTTATGATTAAATTTTACTCTCGTCAAAATATCCTCCCTTAGCCTTGATTACTGCAGCGCAAATTGTTGGCATTCGTTGTAAAAGTTTCTAAAGGTATAAGTTTGATAATTGATTCCATTTTTTTTCAATGACTCTTAGAGATCTTTTTCTTTTCTTTTTTTTTTTTAACTCTTCTGTCAAATTCATCTCATGCTAATTCTGGAGTGGGGGGGGGTGACTTCAAACTTTGAACTACAGTGTATCTCCACGATTTCCTTTTCTCTATTATTTGTTAACCGCCGTGTATACTTCAGAAAGATTGTGGAGTGGTTTCTCGTAGAATTCTGCACAGTTTTAAATTCAAAGTAGTCCTACTCCTAGAATGGCTTATACCAAATCGTTCAGTTTACTCTGCTATTTAACCCATAGCTGGGGAGAGGATAGTTGGATATATACTTTTCTAAGTTCATTTAATCGCAAACAAAAAAAAAACTGTACGAAACTACATCACTTAAAGACATTCAACAATTATAATGCATAACACATGTAACTCGAAGAGACAACAATAACTTAATTAAGCTGTTGACGTTCCACACGTCTTCAAACAAAAATTTAGGAAGGAAGCCGCTCTCACTACTTGAAAGAGCTATAACAGTTGCTGGAATTGAGGAACATTTCTTTTTTTTATTCTTTTTTCTTTTTTTGGGGGGTGGGGAGAATTGTTTAAAAGAAAGAGTTTATAAATTTTAACCGGAAGCAGTAATGGTTGCTCGTTCAATAAATTCTAAATGTTTTCTTATAGGGTGACGGCTAATATTGCCATTAGCACGGAAGGTCTATTGATCCTTAAGCTCATTCCAGATCTCAAGTGAAACTGATATATGCAATCCATCATCACTTGAGGACTACCAACAGCTGCAATAGCTAAAATGGATAGCACATGTAACTCAAAGAGAAAATAATGACATAATCAAGATGTTGATATTCCACACTACTCAAATAAAAGGTTAAGAAGGAAACCGCTATCAGGGCTGGAAAGAACGATAACAGCAACTGGACATGAGAAACCTATTTTCCTCAAGAATTGTTTTAAGAGAAAGATTTTATAAATTCCAACCGTAAACAATACTGGCTTCATTAACATTTAAGCTTATCTTTTAAAAGTTCAACGATAATTCTTCTGCCGCACCTTAATTTAAAGACAATTTGATGTACGTAGGTCTTTACTTTCCGTACAAACAATTATATTTATTTCGTAGGTGACTTTCGCAATTAATTTCGATTATTCCCAAATTTATTTCCAAGTTATAAAAATTGTTATCGTACAACAAAAAAAAAAAATCGTCGCAAAAAAATCACATAAAAATCACCGAAAAGAATTGGAGTAATTTCAGAAATCCTGGATCCCCCCTCCCCGGAATGGTTTTAATTTGCTCACGAAATCGGGATGATATGTTGGACTACGGTCTCTAGGAGTAAAGTTGAAAACGCGAACAATTTTATTTTGAAACACTGTATTTTTTTTTTTCATTTGAACATGAAAGTTAGAGAATTATGTCCCTTTAAGTTGAAAATGTGTGACACACTGACATTCGCATTTATTATATAGATAGAATAGCTAATACAGTAAATCATTCTACCCAAGATTAATCTTTCTTTTTCAATGCAACCTCCTTGGCTATCCCAGACGAAAAAATAGCAGATCAAATATATTAACTACTTAATCGAATAAAACGTTGTACAGAAGAAGGCTTACGGCCATATTGCGTTAAAACATTGGTTCACCGATCACCGAAGTTAAGCAAGGTTGAGCCTGTTTACTATCTAAATGGGTGACTGTTTGGAAATACCAGGTGCTGTAAGCTTGGGTGTGTGATGTGGTTAACAGCTCGGAATTAGAAATCGGTGAATCGAGTTAATTTTCAGTCGGATTCATTATCTTTACTTACGCACAATTACTCGTGGGAAAAAATGAACTCACCTCTTCTCCGCAAGCTATGTGTTAAATAATAGGTCTTGTATGAGTAAATCATCATTATCGATGAAAGAATTCTTACAATCCAAAAATATTTTCTGGTTTTAAACAACCTGCAAAAAAGGTTGATAAGCCATAAAAAAACAAAACTTGATGAACTTGAGATACAAAGAAAGCAAAATGGACAGAAAGAAACATCGAATAATCTACTTACGCAATTAAGCAATAAGGGATAGGAAGTTGTGGAGAGCCATGATAGCTCACATCCTGAAGGGATAAACGCATAAAAGAAGAACATGACATGGTTTTATTGATCGGATATTAGATTAAATGCTCTTTATTTTCTTTTTCTTTTTTTTGACCTAAATTTTCTTTCTGTGACATTTGTATGCGCTACAAATACTGTGGAAATCAGGACGATAGAGTCACGTTCAGACGAGAAACAATGGCGGTCTTCTTAATTACGGCAGTATTGTTAAGTAAGAAGGAAAATGGCAAAGTGTGTGTGGGGGGTAATGGGGATTGAATTGGAGTAGAAAGAAAGACCGGAAACGAAAGAATATTGGAAAAATATCAGGACATCACAGAGAGATTTTGGAATTCGAGAAATATGGGCGTTACAAGTGCAAAGCGTAATTACAAATGACACTTGAAATAATCCGGACGAGCCTCAGAGGAAGAATAAAAAAGAAACAAGAAAGGCAAGAGAAACTAGAAACAATGCAATCTAAAATGGAAGGAAAGCATATTAAAATTGAGGCGATTAGCTTCAGGCATCGCTTAGATTCCACAAGAACTCACAAAAGAATATTCGTTTGTTGCTAATAATAATAATAATAATAATAATAAAAGGAAGGAAGAGAGGCAAATTAAAGAAGGAGACAAAGAAGAGAAGAGACAAAGAAAACAAAAATCACAAATAAAGACAAGAAGAAGTAGAAGAAGAAAGAGGAGTAGAGAGAAGGAAAAAAGAAAGACGAGGAAGAGAGTAACGTAACAAAAGGGGAGCCAGATGAATGATGGAAACGAGTATTAAGAAGAAGTAAAAGAAGAAGACGAAGGAGAATGAAAAAAAATGAAGGGTGAGAAAGAGACTAGCAGTAATAATAATAATAATAATAATAATAAGAAGAAGAAGAAGAAGAGACAAAAAAAAGCAAAAAAGACAAGAAAATCAAAGATGAATGGAAGGAAGAATAAAGAAAGAAAGAAAGAAAGAAGAAGAAGAAGAAGAAGAGACAAAAAAAAGCAAAAAAGACAAGAAGAAAATCAAAGATGAATGGAAGGAAGAATAAAGAAAGAAAAGAAAGAAAGAAGAAGAAGAAGAGACAAAAAAAGCAAAAAAGACAAGAAGAAAATCAAAGATGAATGGAAGGAAGAATAAAGAAAGAAAGAAAGAAAGAAGAAGAAGAAGAAGAAGAGACAAAAAAAAGCAAAAAAAAAAGAAAATCAAAGATGAATGGAAGAATAAAAGAATAAAGAAAGAAAGAAGAAGAAGAAGAAGAAGAGAAAAAAAAAAGCAAAAAAGACAAGAAGAAAATCAAAGATGAATGGAAGGAAGAATAAAGAAAGAATAAAAGAAAGAAAGAAGAAGAAGAAGAAGAAGAAGAGAAAAAAAAAGCAAAAAAGACAAGAAAAAAATCAAAAGATGAATGGAAGGAAGAATAAAAGAAAAAAAAAGAAAGAAGAAGAAGAAGAAGAAGAAGAGACAAAAAAAGAAAAAAAGACAAGAAGAAAATCAAAGATGAATGGAAGAAAGAAGAAAAAAGAAAGAAAGAAAAGAAACAAAAAAAAAAGAAAAAAGACAAAAAAAATAAAGATGAATGGAAGAAAATAAAAGAAAAAAAGAAAAAGAAAGAAGAAAATCAAGATGAGAAGAAGAAAAGAAGAAAAAAAAAAAAAAAAGAGCAAAAAACAAAAGACAAGAAAATCAAAGATGAATGGAAGGAAGAATAAAGAAAAGAAAGAAAGAAAGAAAGAAGAAGAAGAAGAAGAAAGAAGAGACAAAAAGCAAAAAAAAAGAAAATCAAAGAAGAATGGAAATCAAAAAAGAAAAGAAAGGAAGAAAGAAGAAGAAGAAGAAGAGACAAAAAAGCAAAAAAGACAAGAAGAAAATCAAAGATGAATGGAAGGAAGAATAAAGAAAGAAAAAAGAAGAAGAAGAAGAAGAAGAAAAAAGAGACAAAAAAAAAAAGACAAGAAGAAAATCAAAGATGAATGGAAGGAAAGAATAAAGAAAAAGAGAAGAAGAAGAAGAAGAAGAGAAAAAAAAAAAATGCAAAAAAGACAAGAAGAAAATCAAAGATGAATGGAAGGAAGAATAAAGAAAAAAAGAAAGAAAGAAGAAGAAGAAGAAAGAAGAAAAAATGACAAAAAAAAAAGACAAGAAGAAAATCAAAGATGAATGGAAGGAAAGATAAAGAAAGAAAGAAAGAAAGAAAGAAGAAGAAGAAGAAGAGAAAAAAAAGCAAAAAAAGACAAAAAATCAAAGATGAATGGAAGGAAGAATAAAGAAAGAAAGAAAGAAAAGAAAGAAAGAAAGAAAAGAAGAAGAGAAGAAAAAAAGACAAAAAAAAAATCAAAAAATGAATGGAAGAAAATAAAGAAATGGAAGGAAGAAAAAAGAAAAAAAAGAAAAAAGAAAGAAGAAGAAGAAGAAGATGAAGAGAAAAAAAAAGCAAAAAAAGACAAGAAAGAGAAAATAAAGATGAATGGAAATCAAAGAATAAAGAAAGAAAGAAAGAAAGAAAGAAAGAAGAAGAAGAAGAAGAAGAAGAAGAAAAAAAGCAAAAAAGACAAGAAGAAAATCAAAGATGAATGGAAGGAAGAATAAAGAAAAAAGAAAGAAAGAAGAAGAAGAAGAAGAAGAGACAAAAAAAAGCAAAAAGACAAGAAGAAAATCAAAGATGAATGGAAGGAAGAATAAAGAAAGAAAGAAAGAAAGAAAGAAGAAGAAGAAGAAAGAGCAGAATGAAGGGAAAGAAAGACGAAGAGAACGTTGGAGAAAAGAGGAACCAAATGAAAGACGGAGACGAGTATAAAGTAGAATGAAAAAAAAACAAAGAGACCGAAGAGAATGCGTAGAAAGAAAAAAAAAAAAAGAATGAAGAAGAAGAAGAAGGAAAAGAAGAAGAGACAAAGAAAAGAAAAAGAAAAGAAGAAAATCAAAGATGAAGGGAAAGAAGAAGAAGAGGAAATACGACGATAAGACAGGATGAATAAGAAAACAGAAAAAAAAAAGAATGATTAGAGAAAGAAGTTTGAAAAATGCGGAAGAAGAAGAAGAAGAGGAAAAGAAAATGATAAGGAGAGAGAAAAATAAAGAAAGTGAAAGAGGAGGAGAAGAAGGGAAGAAAGAGAAAGGGAGGAATCTTAGAAGCAAATACCAAACATTCCAACAACTAATTAGAGCGGAAAATGAGTGCGTAAATAATGAAAAGCCCCGCCTTTTACGCATCAAAACACGCATTTCTGCATCTCTTTCGGAACAAAACAAACTCAAAATCGACGACATCGCAAAATTACATCATGAAAATCCAGCAACGCACGTCGTAAACGCATAAAAAGAAAACTAAACTGTCGGGCGATAAACTTCTGCAAATGACCCTACAGTTACAGTAAGAAATGGAAAACGTCTTGCTAGAATTTAAAATAAATAACTCATTAAAATTAAAAAGATGATCTACATTATTAAGGTTGATGCGATCACCGGTCCTTCAACTTTTGTCTAATGTAATCTTTTACTGTATCCGACTGGCTAGAACGTTAGCATTTGGATCATGAGAAAACATTTGATTCTTCTCACCACGGAGTTGGTGTCTTCATTTTTCTCACCACGGAGTTGGTGTCTTCATTCTTCTCCCTACAGAGTTGGTGTCTTCATCCTTCTCATCACGGAGTTGATGTCTCCCATGGCAGATGATCGCAGAGTTCGTCGTCTTTGGAAAGTACTTGAAAGCCATTCTCCATCCGTATCAACAACATCTCTCTACACATAGAACAACTTCCCGCTCGTTTCCGTTGCTTTCTTGCCCTTCAAAAAACCAAAAAACAATGAGTTGTCGATAATGTTCGTTTTGGTTCTACATTTTTTTAAGGTGATCGCAAGTCCACAAAACACAACCTGTCTTGTCGCAAGTTCGTGCGGAACTACGTTGCAGTGTCAAGTGTATCTAACGAGTACACATGCGCAAGAAATTAGCTGGTGCATGAAGTTGAGTGTCGACAAAAACCGCACGGACTTTTTGGCCAAACAAATATATTAAGGTAGTTTTTTTTAACTCTTTGAGCCCTACGTGCCTAAACGATTTTAACCCTTCTGCCTGAGCTCCTGAGTCAAAATTCGCAAATAATTGTTATGTAATGTTTCACGGTAGATATAAAAATAGTTCCAAAAATTATAAGCATTATACTTAACAGGGGGAGAGTATGATTTCATGCCTTCACTTTATCACCAGAATTCTTTCTTTGTGTCCTTGTCTACCCAACCAATAGTAAAACACGACGCGAGTGTTTATCCACCCTTCAAAGCGGTGATCAAGGCTTAAAGGGTTAAGTTCGTTTTTATTATAAACAAGTTTGTTGTTCAGTATCTGTCTATATTTCTGAGATGAGGTATTATGTACACTATTTACATTATTCGGACTATTGTCCTCATCTTTGTCGCCATATTTATTACAACGTTTCGGGCTTCCAACATCTGTCTATATTTCTGAGATGAGGTATTATGTACACTATTTACATTATTCGGACTATTGTCCTCATCTGTGTCGCCATATTTATTACAATGTTTCGGCCTTTCAGTATCTGTCTATATTTCTGAGATGAGGTATTATGTACACTATTTAGATTATTCGGACTATTGTCCTCATCTGTGTCGCCATATTTATTACAACGTTTCGGCCTCTCAGTATCTGTTTATATTTCTGAGATGAGGTATTATGTACACTATTTACATTATTCGGACTATTGTCCTCATCTTTGTCGCCATATTTATTACAACGTTTCGGCCTCTCAGTATCTGTCTATATTTCTGAGATGATGTATTATGTACATTATTTACATTATTCGGACTATTGTCCTCATCTTTGTCGCCATATTTATTACAACGTTTCAGCCTCTCAGTATCTGACTATATTTCTGAGATGATGTATTATGTACACTATTTACATT